CATCCGAGTCGATATGACGCGAGGTTTGCCTCCCGGACTCTGCTTGTACCAAAAAAGGAAGCTGACGGTAGCATCTCTGCAGGAGCAGTTTAAAGATACGGCGCCTCCAGGTTCAGCTCTTTTCACACCACTGTCCTGAATGACGCACGATGGATTTTCAACAGCAAACACCTGACCTGAAAATAAAAAGACAACATTCAAAAAGTTTTGAAATCCTGTTGGTTTTACTCACAATTCTGCAAAGGTAGTTTTCAAAAAATGTTATCAATACTCACAGATTTTACAGAAGAGCAGGAGAGACATTAACGATTTCATTTTCAGAGCTGTTCTGTCTGCTCTGAACTAATTCTCTCATGGGGCAAAGACCAGCTGTGAATGGCCGAGTTAGACGGTTTGGTTTGAAATCACTTATGATTTGTTGTGACTCATTGAGATCTGCCTGATCACGTGGCTCAAAGTTAAAGCTGAGACCCCCTTTTTGATGACGTTGTTTACACCGCAGGTCACAAAGTGGGACATTTAGACCATAAAGCAACTTCTGTTTGTCAACATAAAAGCAGATGCTGGTGCATATTAGCATCTGTGGATGTGATACTCAGGTGTCAGAACAGATTCCTTAAGAACTTTTGTGGGAACAATGTTAAAACCTTACAACGTAACTCTGTACAAAACTTCTAAAATGAGGGTGATTGGAGGAAAATTGATTGTTTTTTTTTTCTCATTTAGAAGGACAACTAACATCTAGAAACATACATTTCAAAACACAGAACATCCATATTTTGTTGGACCTTTGGATGATTGATTGATAGACTTGAACCAAATGATTTGCTTGTTCTAACTGCCTGTGCAGAGCTGAACGACTGAATGTTGATAAGGTGATTGAACTGTTCAAATTCAAGGGTATTTGAATGTTGGTGGGTTGTTGCCCTTGGAGACGGGAGTTAGCCATCTAGATTGAGAACCCAATGAAGAGCTGAGTAAGTAACTCAATACAGCAAACTGTGGCTTATTGAGGCCATGAATTTGGCTCGTATGTAACGGCTGCCAGCAGTAAAGAAAAAATCAAGATTACACAACAACCCACAAAATCTTCAATACATTTCGTGGTTCACCTCATAAATCCTGATTTATTAAAATGATTCAAATCCTTAATCCAGGTGATTCAGCTAAACTGAAGACAACAAGCGTTGCTGATGAGAGCTTTCCAAGTCCAGTAAAAGAGCGGTCCGTATGGACCCAGGTGGAGATTTTCTCTTTCATCAATCAAGCACATAGGTTTCATAATAAGTATGCCGTTGTTCAGGACGAAAATATATCTCACAACCAATCTAATCTTTATTTGTTGTTTGTTTTGAGGAAAGGCTAATCAGTATTATTAGTAAGGCCATAAAACAACGCATATCTCAATTCATTTGACAAAATTGTTGAAAAGGAGTAAATCATTCACACTTGAGTTCAAACTGAAAGAGCTGAAAAAGAGATCCTTGGTTAATGCAGTGGATAAAGCTGCCTTAATGTCACCTATTGAAGAGTATAGCATTTAAAGCAAAAAGCTTTGTTTATGAAGAGGGAAAACAACTATCTCTATTTCTGTTCAGACAGTCCATTAGAGTGCTGTTAGCATGTTGAAGCAGCTTTCCGAAACCCAGTAAACCACAAGTTGGAGGTACATATTAGCATGTGTGGATATTTTGAAAATGGAATTATTGTGAAAAGCAGAGGGAAATGCACAAGTTTTTTAGTCTTCTTGTACTGTTTATATTTAAAGGGAGCTAATTTATATTCACAAAAAGATTGTTGAAAAAAGCTATGTTAAAAAAAAACACTAGCAAAAATAGTTGTAATAAATCTGGTTTTGTTCTCTATGAACCGTTGAAATTCATAAATACATTTTGTGGTTTAATAATGGAAAATATGAAATTCTGGCAGAAAATTTTAAGTTGGAAAATTTGAAGCACACTAGAGCCGAGTCACTCAGTAATTCAGCTTTAACCATTTCAAATGTTAGCCTGCTATGTCAAATTTATGTTTGCTTAGAGAGGGTCGCTATTTATTGCATAAAATAATAATCACGTTTTCAAGTTTAAGTAAAAATTTCTTCTGAGTGCTTGAATAAATTTTACTGTTAAAAATTAGAGTAGTTTAGCAGAAAGCTGTTTTTGTTCTTTGGACGGTGGGTTGTTTTTGGAATTATAAGCAAATTTATTAAACAAAATTTGCTCTTAAATTATACTAACATGAACTAGAGGTCAGGTTTGGACCACTGAACATGAAGTCGGGAGAACCCAAAACAAAAGTAATGAAAAAAAATCTCTCAAGTAAAATATGCATTATTACTGACTTGGAACAAAACACTTTAATATGTGAAGCAAAAATATTTCAGAGCCTTTCTGTACTTCTTCATTTATCACACATAACAGTTGTTTTCCTGTTTTCTAAATGGGTCAGCGGCGCAGAGGGATACCACCTCATGGTAACATGACTGCTGTTTGTTCCACTGCGCTTGTGGCTTTACTAAAGTACATTTAGGTCAGTTCTGTCCAGATATGTAGTCTGTGGGTTTCTGTAATGCTAAACAATGGAAACAAATGGCCCCGCTTGTGCACATCGGTAGCACTGCTCTACTGTCACAAAATGACTAACACAAAAGGTAGCGGCACGTTTAGCTCAAATAAAAGGAAATGGACAGGAAAGAAAGTAAAATTAGTGGCTCACAGACCCTCCTACTTCTATATATAGTCTGTTTGAGCTGCAGTGGTGATGCAAAGTCATCGTTTTAGTTTATTCGGTCACTAGAGACATGACTACTGCATTGGTTTCTAATACAAAACAAAAGTATGGGTCGTGAGAAGAACCGATGGCCCAGATGTGTTATTGAAGGCAGGAACAAGCTACAACCACATCCTGTCAGGACGGAGGAGCGGTGGGGCCGACTGAACCTCTGGGGCTGAGGTCGCTGCTAGCAGGCAGGACCACAGCGAGAACTGCTCCTTTTCTGTTTGGTTGTTTGTTACTAATGTATTTTTAAGTCCGTTAAGCTTTCTATGTTAGTCACCAACCGGAGATTAACACCATTTTATCACCAAGAGACCAATTAGCTCAAATTTGATCACTGTGTGCAAACAAAACAACATTGTCCTCACTGATTACCAGCTTTACTGTAAAATGCTTTTGTTTTAATGCTGTCACTTCATTTAAAGAGCAACAGTCCTCATGAAAACCGAGCAGAGAAACTGTGATATGTTGTGGCTAAACTTCAAAAACTTCAACAGACAACTTTCTATGTCAGCTAACCGCAGCACATGCTAACACTTCTCTCTTTAGGTTCACCTTCTATATTTTGAACAGAGACGATCACCTGATGAGCTCCAGTTGTATTCTTAAAATCTTCAGCTTCACCTCTGTTCAGATTTTTTTTTTAATATGCTAATTTTGTCCTCTAGCATCACAACCACACCTAAGATTTCAGGGATGCTCTGACACTGAGGGTTAACTACCAAAGCAGTTCAGGAATGACTTTACTGCTCTCTGCTGGCTGACTTCCTAACTGCACATCTGAATATCTCAATCAAATATTCACAATGTCACATTAGCTACATGACTTAAATACTTTTATCTGTAAAGTCACTATAGCAACCTTCACTTCATCACAAGCTCGTTTTGAAGTCGGTGGAGTTCATGATGTTGAGATTATCACAAGAAAACCCTCCTCAAAAATAACCAAGAAAATGTCAATTTCTTTTACAGACATGAATAAAAATGTCATTTCTCTTGAAATTATTCTTTCTTAAGCATAAGGAAGAATAAAGATAAAGATCACATAAAAACTGGCTGTTGATTGTGATTAGTTAATTTTCAGCTTGACTTTGTCTGATTGTTTTGCAATCAGTGAACACATCCCATTAAAGTGCTATCAAGTCTTACTAATAATAGTGTGGAATCTGCTAATGAGGAAAGAAAAAAACAGATATTTAAAAAAGAAAGACAGACAAACCAAGGCGATTTAATAGAGAATATTAAATACATACAACAGACGAGTGAAAAGTTGTTCGGTTTTAACATTTTGAATTGTCTTTTAGAGTATTAACGTTAATATTTACCTCATGTTTTGCACGCAACAGCAGCAAAACATGAATGTCCCTGCTTGGTGGAGCTTACGATCCTGTTAAAGCTGAAATATGCTGAACTTTGACCTCGGTGCTCTGTGGTCTGCTGAGTAAAAGGCAAGTGACAGCATGTCTGTGGTTCCTTCTGACTGAGCAGAAGGTAAATGTGACATCACAGCTCATAGTAACTGATATTTTGCACACAAAAAACAAATCTACTGTAAAAAAAAAACTTCTGTGTTCATTCAACTTTATTTGGTCAGGAACAAAACATCATCAACGACATATATATACAAGTTGTACATAGGCCCTGTAGGCACCAGATAACTCATGGTTCCTGCTTTGACTTTTTTTAAAGCAGTGTAAACAAGACTTTTTAGATATTAGTAAAGATGCTATAGATTGGCATATAAGGCGAGAGCAAAAGGTCACACTTACATGCAGAACAGAGAACAGATGAATAAGTTGCAGCATCATTTTCGGTTTTGCCAAACAGCTCATGTCTGCAACTTGTGACTCTGGAGCTGCAAATTGCTCTCTGGATGTTCCACAGTGGCTCAAAACTCCTTCTGAAGATGGAAAAGGAACCAGCCAATGTATTTAAATATGCATGTAAAAAAAATGCAGGTTTTACCTGTTTTTCTGTTTGTTTTGGGGGGTTTTCTAGGGAAAATTGCATTGAATTTCCACAACAAAAAGACACTAATAGTACCAGTACTACATTTAAAAAAATAATAATGTTATACATAATGTTTAGATCCAGTAAAATATACTATATCCATCTTCCTTTATTTAAAAAAGAAAAAAGCTTTATGGTTTAAAACCAAAAATGAAAGTTGTGATTCTATAAAAATGACAAGAAAAATTTACTTTTGATAATTTCCATAAAAATTACAAGTTGTGTTTTTCCAAAAGGTTACATAACATTGGCAGTTTTAGTCAAGTTTCAACTAGCTTGACTAAAGCTAAAAAAAATGTAAAACCTGCAGCCCTCTGCCCGACTGCGTTCAGTACTGACTCCATAAAAAGCTCAATCCATGCTTCAGAGATACCTGAGTTAGCATCAACAGGTCAAAATTTTACAAAAACCAGAGCTTAGAAAACCAACCACATTATGATTGACGCATCTCCAGTTCAAATGTATCAGAATCTGCATGTTTTCCTCATTTGCCTCTGCACAGATCTCAGAAAGCAAAGAGCAGCAGTGCCTGTGCGGTTTAAAACATTCAGTCACTTCTGGTTGGACTGTCTGACTCTGGAGTAAACCGGTTCCTCCTCTCGGTTCTTCTGTCTGTTCTTTGCGTCCGACTTCAGTTTGAAATCCAGGGCTGCATACTGAACCACCGTTAAGTCTTCGTCCTGCAACACAAAGCAGATCTAAATAGTGGAGTCTGTCTACAAACACAATCTTAACTCATTTTTTAAATAGCTAACCTGAGTGTCAGCAGCATTTCCTGGCTCTTGATGTGATCCTTGATGAGAAAAACAAAATCATCAAAATACTGCAAAAAAAACATAAATCATCTACTAAATATCAACTGGTTGTACCTTCTGAATGATTGATTTTTCTTCTGAAATTTCGACAAACAATAAACATCAGGATGATGTTAAAGATCAGAGACGCAGCCAGGGACGCAGCACCTCCATGCATCAACGCAGGGTCAACCTGTTTCTCTGAGAAAAAATATAGAACACTTTTGCAGATTTGTGGGGGAAAAAAAGCAATAACCTTAACTCTTACCTCCCACATTCAGTCTTGTTCCTGGTCCGAATAGAATCCGTCCGCATGAAGCCACAGCGCAGTGGTACGTCCCGGCATCAGACACGGTCACGTTCCTCTTTGGTAAGCTGTACACGCAGCTGTGGACAGCAGGACCGTCCTCTGGGCTCCGCGCACACGGACCACCACTCTGTGTCGTTGTGTACAGCGTTCCCAGATCGGATCCCTCCGAGTTCTTCCTGAACCAGTAAACGCTGTGGTCTCCGTTAACAGTTCCGGTCAGCATGGTGCAGTTCAGAGTCACAGAGCCTCCTGGTTGGGCAGAGACGGAGTCTGGCTGGTGGAGGAACGTCTTGCAGCTGGAATCTAAGACAAGATGTTCTAAGGATGTCAATAAAAACGGTAAAAATAAGTGCAGAAAGCTTCTAGAAAGCATCGAGTTTCTCTTACTTTTTAGCAATAAAAATGTTCCGTTGTCAAACTCGGTGATGGAGATGCTGGTGTACCCACAGTAGTACAGAGCAGAATCAGAGTCTCGGATATCGGAGATCTTCAGATCATAGAGCCCTTCCTTGGTGTAAACTGAAAGTCGCTTATTGTCCTTAAATTGCCTGTGTAAGGTGTTGGAGCTGGGAAGATGTTTGTAAAAAGTGGATATGATCTGCGGCGGTTCTCCTGGCATCTGCTTGTACCAGTTCAGATGGGAGGCACTGGAGGTGTAGAAGCAATGCAGAGTAACATTGTCTCCAAAGTCGGCGTAGAGAACGTCCCCGTCTGAAGAACATGTGAAGTTTGGCTAGTCAAAGTCCGCAGAATGGTTTACGGATACCTTAAAGCGTTACCGTATCGAGAAGCTACCATCATGATGCAGGAGTGTGTAAATGGAGTGACTTACATGCTTTACAGAGAGGAACCAGGAGTACATAAAACCTCAGCATCCTTCACTCTTCACTGCTCAGACTCTTCCAGTGTAATAGCGACTTCAGTAAACGGGTCGAGGACGAGACTTTATATGTTCAGCGGAAATGACCTCTACTTGCACTGACAATGGAAACAGTGTGGGCACAAAAGGAAGTGAGAAGCTCTGATTTCACTATTTATCAACTTTATTGTTATTATTTCTTTCATTTAAAGCTGGGGTATGCAACTTTTATTGCAAGATGTTTTTTTTACACCCTTGTTAAAGCCGTCACCAAGTTGTGACAGTATAATAGGGGCAGATAATCTGTGAAAAAAGTCAATCTCCTCCCTGAGCTGCCATTACCGTTTGAAGAAATACAGCGCTCCGGGTCAAAAACAACCATTCAGAACTGGAGGAGGGTCTTAGTGCTGTCAGTCAATATTGTGTATGCACTTCTCAACGTGCTAATGCCAGAGAAACAACTTATTGTTACAAGACAACTTTATCCGCCGTCATCGGTGGCTATGCTAACCAGCCGTAACATTTACAACAAGCTCCAGTGACAGGAAGAAGCTATAGCAGACAGCATGTAAGGGAGGAAGTGAGCAGTGTGTACACAAGATGATTGACAGCGCTAAGACTCTCCTCTTGGCTTTAATTGGTTGTTTCCAGTAAGTACTGGGAGCACTGGAAGAAGGCAGAGGGCCTGTTTTGGCTTGACTTTCATCAATAGTAAAAATAACACATCCTTCTGTTTTTGCTGTTTTTCACACTTTTTGACTCAGATCATTCAACAAAATTTAAGTATTTGACAAACATCACTTGAGTAAATAAAAAAAAATGTAGCCTTAAATGATTTCACTTATTAAGGGAAGAAGCTATCCAAACCGAACAGGTGAAAAAGTATTTGGTCCCAAATCTAATTTACCCAACGTTGACGGTCAAAGTGGAACAAAGTGTAAAATCTCTGGTTCACTCTTCACTGCAGAATTACTTCAACCACATTTAATTATGTATTTAAGGTCTCTTCACACTCTGAATCAGATTGAATCTGGATTTTGAATAAGTTACACCAAAACCTGTGGTTTACAGCTGCAGGACATAAAAATCACCTGTAAAGAAAGTGGCCTGAAGGAAAGGCTTCCCAAAAGGAAATGGAGAAACTTAAGAACAGCAGGTTATGAAATATCCCCCAAACTGAAACCTTAAGTTTCCATCACTCATGGTTCACCCCCACACAGAGAGGAACACACTGCCAACGGAGAACAACAACTTGGACAGAGCTGGACCAGACTTTGACTGGCTAGCGTGAGACTTGACAATGGAGAAGGGGCTTTAGAAAGCACATAATGCAAACTGAGTTTTCAATTTATACGTGTTGTACAAATTCACAACAAGGTTACCTCAGATTACGAGAGTTTTGATCCTGAAACATGAATTAGGCCAGAACTGTTGGACAAACAAGGTTTGGACTGTGTGAAGAAGCCAGAGACCTGAGTGTTAGGATTGAGGAGTTTCTGGATATTTAGGCAGCAAATCTGGAAACATGTAAGAAAATAGTAGCCTTCCTTTAGCTAGCCTTTTATAGCCTCTAAAACATTTTCATTTAGAGGTTATCTCATCATTAAATGAAACTAATATTGTGCTAAAGAAAATTTATCACAAAATGTATTATATACAAAATACAAGCTCAATAAAGTAACTGAATTATTTAAAATGTCCTTTTTCAGTAGCAGCAACAGTTTGTTGTCTTGGTGAAGATTGTTGGGAATAATTAGACCTCGACACATTTCTTATATTTCACCAGATCAACAAACTTTACATGCTAATAATCCTTAAGCATAGCAAGTATTTATTTTTAGCTTATGTGGTTCATCCTGTTTTATTTTTAGTCTTGATGTCTGTTCTTTTTAAAACCAGTGATATTGATTCAGGTTACAAAAAAAAAAAAAGATAATAATCCACTCGGTAGAAATACATGTGATCTGCTTTAATGTGCTTCACTGACCAGAGTCACAGACATTCAGTTGGTGGCAGAAATTTTTGAAATAGTCACAACACATTTGATACTGTTAAACTTTAATGTAGAAGAAAAGCAGATAAAAGCTCATGGCATCTTAAAAAATGATAACAAAGCTACAGAAATTATTCATAAACATAAAAGTCAACTATTGCTATTTTGCAATGTTTATGTAACCAACAGACACATTCAAGCTTAATGTTGATTAAAAAAAATAACAAAAGCAAAAATTGATAGACTCAAAATTCATAGAATTATAAGCACATTTACTGAAATGATAAAAAAAAAATGTTTTATAACAATTTTCATTCGACCAAGACTGTTATCATGTTGAGTTCAGAAAACCAGTGAAGCTCATTGGCGACTGGATGTATCTGAGCATAAAAGCATGTTATAATGTTGTTACTTCTCAGTGCAAAGCTGTTAAAGGGTTAATAGGGGAGCAACGTTGTGAAGGCAGAGTTTTGGAAAGAACAGCAGTTTTTAAAGAGACAGAGGCCCATTTTCAATGCTATAAAATGGCACTTTGTGCCTGGAAAACACTGGAGAACTCTGAAAGGAAAAAGCAACACATGGGGAAAAACACCAACAATACGAATCTAAGAAAACAAAATCCAAAAAGGAACAGGATACAAGAATAAACACAAAGACATTAACTCATCTGATAAGTCCTTTTGGATCTAACTGAACAACAGTGAATTAATAAAAACAAGTTATATTAAACACGCGTGTTGAAATGCACTTGGCTGTAATATATATATTTTTTTCCATTCTACTACTAAACCCTGAAGTACACACATTCACTCCAGATAGGATCCTTTCTCCTTCGTGGTCTGTTGTGCAGCACAAGAAAAGCAGCGTAATATGCTTTTTGTGCATTGTAAGCATCCTAGAAGCAAAAGGTTTGTTAGAATTTTACACACCGAAAAAAATACAGAAACTATTATGTTATGTGTACGTCCTTACATAGAAAAGGACTGATGAAAAACAATCGCTCACCTTCACATCTGGCTTATGGGATGGCCCTTTTACAGACTCTGCAAGTAAAAGCAGAAGTTTAGATATTTTTGTATTTTTTGTTTATTTATTTTTTACATTTTATACAGAAAAGGATTAGTGCCACTGAAAAAACAAATCTGACTTTAGTCTTCAGAGAAAAAAGTCAGAATTTTAGAAAAAAAAAGTCAGAATTCTTTTTTTTTCTTTTTTTGTGGCCCTAATCCTAAACAAATATGTTTAAATATGTTTTATTAACAAAGATAAGGTGACACAGTACAAAAAGCAGTTTGTAAATTACCTCTAGAAGCCATGACAGACAGCCATGTCAACAATCAAGAGTTTCTTATAACTGGCAATAAGTCATTTACTTATTTCACTGCGAGGGAATTTCTACCCACTCCTTTCTTAAGAAATATGTGAATTTGCATATTTTTGGAGGGTTTTCAAGCAAGAGCATCAAATTAAATTGAGAGATATCATAATTTGGAGAATACACTCTGGATTTGCTCTTGCTATCTTTGTTCAATGTTGAAACAAGTTTCATAATCTCAAGCAAATAAACGTGGGGGAAGAAAGCAAAACCAGAGGAAATATATCATGAGTCAAATGTTGCTTTTTGCTGCATTGCAAGTATGTGAATTTAAAGTTGTAAAAGTGTTTAAAAAAAGGTGTTACTTGAACGTTTGAAGCTCTTTTTCTTATGTATCACACACAGTAAGACAGCCAGTAAAGCACTCAGGAGGGAGGTGAAAGAAAAGGCTCCGGCCCATAAATAAGTCTCTAAGTTGTTGGTATCTGCAGAAACACAGCAACATAAACTTTCTGTTTCAGTTAAATTAGGTAATTTGTGGTGTTTTTGTTTTGTTTTGCAGCTGCTCACCTTTTAAGTCCAACTTTGTTCCTTTTCCGAACAGAATGTGTCCACACGAGGCAACCGCACAGTAGTAGGTGCCAGCATGAGAGGCGTCCAGTTTGCTAATTGGCAGCTTGTACACACAGCTGTGTGTCCCTGCGCTGGTTTTGTTGTTGCACCGCTTGTTCTCACCCCCTTGGCTGTGAATGAGTCCTGGTTCAGACACTTCAGAGTTTTTAAACCAGTAAACGCTGTGCTCTCTGCTGCAGGTCCCAGTTTGTACCGTACAGTTCAGGGTCACAGAGCCTCCGGGCTGGATGGTCTCCAATGCTGACTGATAAACTGAAGTTTTCAGCTTGGAACCTGTTTGTTCTACATACACCATTGTGCCTTCAGCAAAATCCAGCCTGTATAGGTAGCTGCTTGCACAGAAGTAAAGTGCAGAGTCTGAAATCCTCAGATCTCTTATCTTCAAGTGATTTTTGCCTTTAGTGGTCTCCAGCTCAAAGCGTGGACTGTCTCTGAATTCATCATGGAAAGTGGCGTTCTTGTCGTACTTGTAATAGGTGGAGACCAGCCTTGGCTTCTGCCCCAGATTTTGCCTGTACCAGTAGAACCGTGCGTCCACGACGTTTTCGTAGAAGCATTGCAGAGTCAAGTTGTCTCCCACTTTAGCAAACACGAAATGTTTGTCTTGGCGAACAGATAAGCTGTATTGTGTCTTTGTCCCAGCTGTGGTAAAAAAATAAAACCCCGACATGATAAACATACGACAACTTGGTACAACGCACCGAAATGTGGAACTTGTACATAGACTCACCCATTGTCCCCAAGAACAAGAACATCATATAGACAACAAAGCATTTGCTTATCATGGTGTTTAGTTTGCCGCTCTGATTGAGAAGAACCTCGACCCATTTTTCAGTTTTCATAGATAAGGATGTACAGTATTTGATTGGCCAAACAGACGTGACGCAACATCTGGCATTTCAGAAACTTGGTCACATGTCCACAGCCCTGTGAAACCACTAGTTAGATTGTGCATATAGGCTACAGTGAACAGCAAACGATTCATGTAGGTTTTCATATTATTTATTCCATTTACAACAAACTTTCATAGATTTTATTGGGATTTAGTATTGCAAACACAAGGTGCATCACACTTCTGAAATGGAGAGAAAATAACATGATTTTTCCAGACTTCAACAAATACAAATTTGAAAA